AAGAAGAAGAAGAAGAAGAAGAAGAAGAAGAAGAAGAAGGAGTGCTCCTGTAGGCCGCTGGACTCAGTTATGACATCCGTTTAACCGCCGATAGGATCAGTTTGAGATGGACTCTTGGGCGGGCAAGAAAAAGCCCCGGTCAGGTCCCCCTTTGTACAGTATTTTACCGCTTGATGGCCCCAAGACTCAGAACTCACGATGGCGGATTGCAACAGAAATACAAGTTAGCCCCTTCCTATCGAGAACGTGAGTTACCGGCATTGGGCAGTGAGCGGGTGTTCCTAGCCACAGAACTGGCCGACAATACCGAACACCCAATATACTGTATTGACACTAAGCTACTCCAAATGCTTTACCTTAAACCCCCAGCAAGGTTGAGTTACAAACAAAGATCCGTTTTAAGCTCAGTTCACCACATTCAACTCGAATAATCCTCCCTCCCTTCTACAGCGGATAAAAAAAGAGAACCCTTAACGCCCCAGGGAAGTGATCTCGCCCTATAGAGAAAACCCGAAAGAGCCAAGGCTTTTCCTTCCGTCCATCATACCCGGGTCCAACTTTGACGTAACCATTCCCGGAACGACGAGGAACAAAAAGGGAACCCCGACTAATTTCACGCTCACTGCCATCTCTCCAAAACCCACCTTCTAGCTCTCCAATGTTATAGAACGGTTTTATTTGCCCCCCGCTACACCCACATTATTCCACCGACTGTCTGTCCGACCGACGGCGCAAAAGTTCACTCACAACCTCACGCGAGCGCCTCTCGCATCCGCTGAACACGGCGATTTGAGGAAAAGAGAGAAGGGGGAGGCGGGGCTCCCCGCGTTTCTGGAATACCCAAGAATTCAGTCGAATTGCTGCGGCTGTGATGTTCCATAAACAAATACTCCGGGTATCCCATCCGCGCAGGGAAATGAAGCGAGGGGAGTGGATTTGTGCTGTAGGCGATTTTTCATGCTCGCTGTATCATACTCGTACTGTGGGATCTTTGGGTTGATTGTGATGAGCGCGCCTGGTGGCAGGTTGGTAAATTGCCGTTGGGTTACCAACCTAAATGGTTTCCTGGCCTTAATCGCTCCAATCTGGATGCAATGGCAATGGCTCAGGAGTGTCTCTGTAATCCCTGATAGATACACGGATGCCAATGGCGATAAGCGGGACTTGGTATCCCCACGTTATGCTACCGCGCTGACGCTCCTCGATTGACCAGTAAGTAATCCCTAGTCAACCTACAACTAGCCATTCCCAAGCCCACAGCAGACTCACGTCGAAAAATCCCGCAAAAACCCATATTTCACGTCAATTGGAAGCCTTTATATATACAAACCCCTCCTCCCCAGCGCAAAGCGGAAAAAAACTGTACAATATCACAAAACTCTCCTCCCCCCTCCTTTCTCTCCGGTCTCAAACCTACTGCCCATCAGCGCCCCCCACCCCTCTCTCCTCCTCGTCCTATCAATCCTAGCATTCTTCCTCCTGGGCCCCCACCGCTCCTTGACTCTTTCCACCCTAGCCCACATCTTCTTCTTCCTCTTATCACTCGCTTCGGCAACCATCCCGGCAAAGAACCTGGACGTTCCAAACTTCTTCGCCAGCTTCACCCTAGTCCAGACATTCGGATTCGACTTCCTCAGCGAGCGCATGCGCGAAAAGTCTGCGGGCGTGAGGTGGTATTTCTTCTCCTTGATCTCCGTGACCGGTGGTGGGAGCTCAGGCTCCTCGGGCGTGCCGTTGGTAGGGCTTGCAGCGGCTTGCAGGGCGCGGCGGGGGTCGTCTTTTGGTAGGAAGAGCGTGGGGGTGATAAAGACGCTGGGCGCCGCAGCGGGGGGATTATGGAGGATGTGCGTTAAGGAGGGGTAATTGGTGGTTAGGTGCGTTTTGAAGTCTGGGTGTGGGGGCATGCGAAGTCGCTTTGTGTGGCGGCGGGAGTTGGATTGGTGGCGGATGAAGGCGAAGGATGCGCTAGTTGTGGAGCGGATAGCGAGGAGATCCCGCCGGAGGAAGGCGGCAGGATTGAACATTGGCTCGTCGTTGCGGCCGTGAGAGTATTTTGCAGAGGCAACGATGGCGATGATGCTACTGTACGAGTAGTTTTGGCGGGGTGAGGTTGATTGGATGAGCTTGGTATAGATGTCTTGGCAGGGGTTAGGGTTTCATGCCCGAACTGCCGGCAAGCCCTGAGTTCGGAGAGGGGAGGCTAGAGGCTCTATGATATGATACGCACAACGTAGCTTACGCCAAAAACAGCCAACTCTACGAGCTTGCTCCAGCACCAATACTTGCGCTAGGAATGGGATAACTTGATAGAGTGTTCAGAAAAGCTGTAGACTACCCAACTTCAATCGCAACCTTAAACTGAATTTAAATTCTTCGAAGAGTACGGTATTGGTGGTAGCTGTAGGCAACAATACTTTCCTCAAACATCTGCCAAGACAGTTGCCTTCAGTGGGAAAGCTGCATCCTGGCGGGAATTTGAAAGTTCGGCTTGCATATTACCCTTGTGGAGGTAAGAATTAGATGGAAACTTGTATGTCGAAAATGATGTCATTACTGCTTTCAGTGGTTCTGTGGGTAATTTGGATTTTTGTGAATTTTCTCCAGTGGAATATGCTGGTGCGGCATCTGTTATTTTTTGCAGTGAAATTGAACGTGCCCACTCACTCTCTAGGTCCCACTTGTATGGTATGAAACCATGTTCTTTTTAACTCAGAACGCAGATAAACAGAAATTAATATATATATACCCGTGGAACACGCTATAATCCTACACTTGCTCTGTCACCGTATTATATCCTCGAACGCAATCCCGATCCTGCAAACCGTGATGGAATGCCCATTACCGCAGCTAGCCATCATACAGTACCGGTGCATGAACCGCCGCCAGCTGCACGCACCCGAGATCCCCCCTTCTCCCGATGCTCGCGCGCTCGCCCACTTCAATCCTTCAATCCCTTGGACAAAACCTCATACCCAACCTTCCTAACTCTCCCATTCCTACCCACAACATCATCCGGCGTGAAATCATCCCGGGCATACCCCAACTTGGAATAAAATCTTCTAGCACCCTCATTCTCCAGGAACACCGTAAGCATAACCTTCTCCACGCCCACCCTCTTCCCGAACCCCTCCATAACCTCAACCAATATCCTACCTAACCCGCGATTCCGCACTTCCTGCGCGAGGTGAAGTTCGTAGCTACCCCGAATCAGCCCTCCTCCTCCCGCTCGCCCAACGAAAGGCATAAATCACGGGCACTATACCAGTAAACAACCTCAAATCCATCCTCCTCCGTAATCATAAAACTCAGAAACCCTACCGCGACCGTCTTCCCACCACCCCCCGCCGCTGAGAGAATCAAGTAGCGCATAGCCGGGTGCTTCATTTCCCTCTTTTTCGCGGTGGCCGACCACCCGATGGTCCGCTTGTACATGTCCTTGCATTCATGGACGAGGTCGAAGCAGGCCTTGAAGGTTTCGGCCGGCAGCGTTTTGGCCGTTTCCAGGGTTATCGAGTGCGACGGCTCCGGCGGGCGCGGCATCAACGGGAGGTAGGTTTCCCGGAGGGTGGACAGCGGGATGCGGTTGTGGGTCTCTATTAACGACATTGGAGGGTGTGGTTGTTGCTGCTGTTGTTGGGTGGGTTGCTGACCGGCTGTGTGTATGCTAGGAGCGGTTAGAATTGGGAACGTGTCGCCATGGGCTGTCACTCGGTTGATGGGTTCCGAGCTTCATTCAGCACGGGAGAAAGGAAAAAGTGGAAACTGACGCTTGGGTCCATGATACCGTACCAAAATCGAGAGGTTCCAAAAACACCCATCTCCGCCTATCCCATCCCATCCCATCCCATCTCATCTCATCTCCGTGGAGTCTCCTACAGACAAAATGCCCTGGGGTAGAGAGCGCGTTTCCCATCAAGCCCAATCCACCTAAATAACAGAAGCGGCAGTACCGGTAGATTTATAACATGCACGCACACACACACACGCTCGCTCGCCTCCGCATAGTCCCAGTAACCTATCTATTATATAAAACAAGCCTTTGGAGAATGACCAGTCACGTGAGCACACGTGCCAGGACATGGGCATTGCGCCGGGAAACACCAAAGGAGTAATATCATACCAAGCAACTTGAAAGCAATAATTACTCTTACTGGCAGTCCCCCATCGGGACTCCGAGGGCCTGTTCCTAGTGTATGATATCCCAAAGTTCCCGCAAGCTTTCATCCAAGGATCGCAGAGGCTACCTTATTTGCTCAGAGGGGGGAACGAGAAAAGTGTGAAGATTTGCCATGGAACGGCTGCTACTAGACTTAGAAAAAGAGGAAAAAAGGTTTCTCGGGAGAGGGAAAAATAAGGAAAAAGAGTCCGCCTGGCCCAATTATATATTATATAGTAGGTCGTAGTTATTGGTTGGTGGCTTGTTGTTTTTGTTTTTATCTCTCACAAGCACGAAAATCTCACATAATTTTTTTTCATTAATCCCACAATTTATTTAAAAAGACATCTTGACTGTCAAGAATATATCTCGACAGTGCTAGCCATAAAAAAGAAACAGACAGGCTTCCCTACTCATACAACAGGCCATCTCGGCCCGTTGATAAAAAGAAATAGAGAGCCTACATCGAAATAACAGAGAGCAGGGGTTGGAATAGAAGTCCCCTTGAACTCTACAGCACCCTAGAGTATATCGCGGATACCTGCGATAACCCTCTCGATATCGTCGTCCAAGATACTCCGGGAGTTGACCTCCCTGGAGTGCAAATATTCCTGCTGCCGGTCTTCAAACAGCTGGACATGAGATGGCCGCGGGATCCGCGGGGGATTCTGGTCGGTAGAATCCTCAATTTGCCTGCTAACCATGGACCGGGCGGTGCCTTGAGTGTGGTAAAGGAGGGCGATGAGACATCGCCGCCCGTTAATGACCTCTATTTGTTGGACAGCTGTCTGGAACGTCAAAGGAGGCGGGACGGGTATGGGCCTGGTATGGCCAATGACTTGCCATCTGTTCTCCCAACCTCTCCTAAAAGGACCGGAAGCTTGACGAGGGGCTGTCAGAACGAGTTCGAAATATCTGTTGGGGTCATTTCTCTGAGGGCGGCGGCGGACGGCCCTGGTAATCTCACGGAAGCGTAGCTGGATATCCGGCTCATCACTGTCGTAGGTGTCACTCTCGGGGATTGTGCAAAAGAACGTCATGGGGAGACCGCTCAGGTCGAGTGAGCTTTGTCTGAACCATCCGTAGGTGTATTCGCGCTGGTCGGTAGTCTCATCCATAACGACTGTAGCGGATAATCCTCCGGGAGTGCAGGTTTCCATACGAGTGCAGGACCCGACTTCCATAATACGGTAGGCGGGTTCCATGGTAAGACCGTGGTTTCGAGAAGACAATGCGGTGTACTGGCGTGCACGCCTAGTAGCAGAGCGCCAGGGACCTGGGCCGGAGATACGACGGGTTGCGAGCATATCGGTAAACGGGATACTCCTTTGACTCTGTTAGACTCCGGGATTGCTACAATTCTTTTAGACAGGGACACTTACCAACAAGAAGGTACTTGGCCTGATGAGATTGGAGCCCCCACTCCAATTTAGTCAATGTAGGATTGGATAGAAGCGAGCGATAATACTAAACTAGTTGTTATTAATGAAAGGCTTTTTTTTTTCTTTTTACGGGGAGGAAGGGAGTCAGGGTCTTGCCTCAAATACGGCCGGGTATTGTTGCTCGCAAGAGATAAAAAAAATCAAAAAATCCGAGTAATGAGGATATTCGCGTTGGTAAATGTAAGAATGAGAGCGGGGAGGAGGGATGAAGGTGGTGATGAATTGGTGATGGTTGGGTGAAGAAGGGGGTTGGATGAAGAATTCTAAGTATTTGAGTACCAGTTGTATGGCTGACGAACTCCTCACGAATGCTAACGGCGGCGAATGATGTTCGATGATCTCTCACCTGAGAGCAATAGTCAGCGAATGGTGGAGGGTAGTAACCATTGACCTTAGTCGGCCCAAAATGGCCTGTGCTTCCTTGCTTTTACACCGCACCGAATTACGGTAGACCTCAGCAATAGCCCTAGATATGGGGAGTAATGGAGGTTGCATCTCGGAGTACCCTCTAAGCCCGACAAACCCCGGTCAACAAAATAAACCAAAACCCCCCTAGAGCCGGAATAGGGACTTATGGTGACCGAAAAAATCACGTTCACTATCCCCATCAGAATATGTGCGAAAAGGTGAGTGTCTAGGCAACGAGTTTCTGTTGGTTAATCCCCTTCTTGCTGTCTGAGAAAGTCAGAACCCGGTGCTAGACTCGTATATTCACCAATAATCATACGTGATCACTCGATAACTGGTATTGGGCTAAAATGAACGAGCTTTTGAACCTTCATATTAATGGTGCCTCCGCACTTAGACACAGAAATGAGAGCTAAGCATGTGACCCCCGGGGACCTAAATTCTCCCTATACTGCAGCCACAAGGGAGAAAAAAGAAGCGAAATGATTAACGAAAAAACACAAAAGAGAAGTTTATTCTATATATTCGACGGGGATCATCGCCGCTCAGCCGTACGGCAGGAGGCCTTAATGGCCTCGCATTTGAAGTATGGAACAGCACCCCTCCTGGCCGCCCGGAAGCAGGAGCCAGCAGAGTTCATGCAACGACAGAATGCCGATCTGTCAGGACAGTGTCCGGGGATGCGGCCAGTGATACCGCTTCCAAAACGGCCAAAGTCCGCCGCGGTTACGGCAGGAACGGTAACACCAGAGGTACGGGTGATTGTGGTCATCGTAGTAACACCTCCTCCAGTCCAAGCGCCTCCAGCTCCTGCACCTCCGGCTCTAGCACCCCCACTTCTAGAATCTCCATTTTTAAGATCTCCACTTCTAACGGACTCACATCTACCACACGGACATCCAGCTTTAGCGCCTCTAGCTCTAGCATCCCCACTTCTAGAATTTCCATTTCTAGGATCTCCACTTCTAACGGACTCACATCTCCCGCATGGACATCCAGCTTTAGCACCTCCAGCTCTAGCATCCCCACTTCTAGGATCCCCACTTCGAGGTTCTCCGCTTCTAGCGGACTCACATCTGCCGCATGGACATCCAGCTTTAGCACCTCCAGCTTTAGCACCTCCAGCTCTAG